GATTTAAGTGATAAATTTAGAGTTAAGAAGGAAATATCACTTGAAGAATTCTACTAATAAATGCCTATATTTAATATCAAAAAGATAGAGGATTAAATTAATTAGATTCTAGATCAAATCTTAACAAAGAATGATGATTCTAAGGATTATTTTATAGCATTAAAGCTGAAGAAACTCTATTCTATTTTCAGATTAACAGGAGTATTAGGACAAATTAGATTAGCAGGTGAAGATCTGACAGATGTAATAATTCTATTCTATTTATAAGATTAACAAAATCAAACCAATGATTAAAAATATATTTAAAGAAATCTCCCTTTTAAATGCCAATGGACAAGCAGCTGATATGATTATTATTGCTAATTTCCAAACTTAATCATAGTATGATTTAGTGAATGACCTAATCAACCAGTATAAAGTCTAGAATGTTGAAATTGTACCTTTGTTGGAAACCTTTTCTTCAACTAACAACACTGATTCTAAAATAACTATGATTGCAAGTAGTGACACAAGATAAAGAGATGGATTAATCTTGACTGAACTTAGAAATATGAGAGAATATAAAAGAAATCCTGAAAAGTATATATATATGGGGTAAGGTATAACACCAGAAAGAGGAGGTGGACCATATACATTAATTCATACAAAATATTAAGCTTTAACAAGAGCATAACGCAAAAGACATATTAGAACTATCTAAGGTCACTATTTCACTTCAGAATTTGCTAGTGAAGATGTTGCTTTTACTTTTTTGTTATATGGCCTTTCCAACATTAATTATAGTGATGATTTTGAACCTACTTATGAGTATATGGACTTTTTGTTTGAATTAGGTAAATAATATGGTTAAATGTAGATAATGTAATTGGAGTTCCATAAAGAGCCATGTAAAAGGCTAAGGAATATAATGACTTGTATGTGAAAAATTAAGTTGTCAGGACTATGGTGGAATCATTCAATTTTGCAGGAAGTCGAGAGATTGCTAGACCCTTTGAAAACATTAAAAATCAGAGGGCTATTGTTCAAGCCTATTGTAATAGTGATAGATGCTCCTTTACTCATCCAGAATTAGCTTATTGGGATAGGGTTCCAGAAGAATTGATCAACAAAATTGCAACATATTATTATAATAATCATCCTCATATGAAATACATGCTTTATATGTATGCTTTGATGGTTAGAAGATGTGACTTAGATTTTGCAAAATAAGAAGTAGGATTGGACTCCACAAATCCTTATTTTTAAGCTATGTAAAAAGGAAGAGCAGCTTTAATGAAAATTTTAGATCAATTAGGTTTAGGTGACAATAGTACTCCTATGATTGCTATTTGGAAATAACATTTAGGATGTTAATTGTAATCAATGGATATGGAAGTCAATTAAAAGTTTTCAACATTTAGAACCTTGAATTAATTGCAATTGTATTAAGCAAAGAAAATAGTCAAACATGGAATTTTAGAAACTGACATGGTGGCCAGTTAAAGAAAATTGAGAATTTTGTAATCTACATTAGCAAATATGACATCATTTGCTGGAAAAGGTTGAATTTATGATATTAATAATAAATAAAGTCATAAATTTTTAATAATGTTATTGTTTTCCAGTTGAAATAAAGTATCAACATATATTTTATAATATTCAGGAAATTGTTATGATTTTCAATTGAATATTAAACAGTTTTTAAGTTAAGATTAGTCATATTATTTCAGGCATTTATATTCTCTTTATTTTTTGTAGATATTGATGTTATTTCCAATTATCAAATAGGAAGAAATATTTAATTTTTTATTAGATTTCATTTATTACTCAGATATGATTCAAAAATACAATATATCAAAATCTTCCTCATTGTAAAATATTCATTCAAAATATAAAATTAATATTAATACACAATTATAATTTAGAAATAAAATATTCTTTAAACAAAATAAGTAATACCCAAATAGTTATTTGAAATACCTACTTATTTTTTGAAAAAGATGATAATAAAAAAAGGTTCGAGAATAAGTCATTAATTTTGGTATTTTGATTTGGAATTTCAAAATTTTCAAAATAATTGTTGGAATTTGCATTATAAAAAATTATATATAAATAATATATCCTAA